GCCTGCCAGCCTCACTTCCTCCACCACCAGACTCCCCCGCTCCCACGTGCCTTGACTGCACCAAGAGCAAACTGCGTCAACAGCCCCACCCGGCCTCACCCTCTGTCGCAGCAGGACCACTGGACCTGGTACACCTGGACGTCTGGGGCCCTGCCCCTGTTCCCGCACGAGGTGGTTATCGCTACTTCCTTGTTATCGTCGATGACCACTCTCGCTACGTCTCTGTTCACCTCCTCCGCACTAAGGCTGCGGTTCCTTGTTATCGGCAGCATCTGGACTTGACTGCCAGTGACGATCTGCGCTGCACCAACCTCATGTGCCCCAAGGTGAGGCGCGGCGGGGCGAGGTGGGATGAGGTGGGGCGAGGTGGGACGAGGTGGGTGGGGCGGATGGGTCAGTTGGAGCTAAGGGCTAAGGGCTTGCATGTTCTGAAAAGGGTGTGTGTGCGTGCTGCGAAATGTTGGTTGCATTGCATGTCTGTCTGCTCTCATTATCACATGTCACATGGGTGTGTGTTCAATTATCTTGTTACGTGCGCACACCTCCCTCCGCATCCCTGTATTGTCAATCTCTCCAGCCCCCCCCCACCTCAGTGAGCCCTGCATCTGTTAAATTATCTCTCCTGCACCTTGGACTGCCTGCCCTGCTCCCTCCCCTCCCTGTATTCTCCCTGTATTTTTCCTTTCACCTTCTGCATTCCCCTCCCTTCCTCCTTTCACCTCCAGGTCACCGAACCTTGCATCCGTCACCTGGCTCGTGCCCTTTCACGCTTACCATGTTCCACCCCTCTCCCAGAGCCTTGCATCTGTCGCCTTGGCGTTGCCCTCTCACGCTTACCACGCCTCACCCCCCTCACTCTCGTGTGTGGCGGATATGCCATGTGGCAACATGGCAAGAAGAGAGGACCTGCAGGCTCAAAAACCTCCCCCTCTAATAACATCCCCCCTTTCTCCCTCTCTTTCCTTTCCCCCTTTCCCTCCTTTCCTCCTCTCCCCTCCAGGTCACAGAGCCCTGCGTCTGTCGCCTTGGCGTTGCCCTCTCACGTTTGCCTCGCCTCACCTCCCTCACACTCGCTCACAACGGGTAAGAAATGGCGGTTCCTTTCGGGGAGAAATTGCAGGGGCCTCTCGGGGGGAAATGGCGCCCCACATTTCTTACCCGTTGTGAGCGAGTGTGAGCGATAGCCAATATCATTGCTCAGGCTATCGGAGCTACGAATTCCTTTAGCTAAGGTTGCCTACTCTACTAAGCAACCTTATCTGGACAATCTTGGACCATATGGTGACAGCAAAGGGTGACCTTATCTGGACAATCTGGACAACCATATTCCAGATGCCATTTCACACCTGCTGCACCATATGCCCTGCCCTGCCCTGCCCTGCGCCATATGCACCAGATGCCACCCTCCCTTGTTCTTATGCCCACCTTTCCCCTTCTTTGCATTCCACTCGGTGTTTCCTCCCGGTACCTGGGTTAATTCCTCTGCCGTCACAGCAGTCACCCTGTCCTGTCACGTCACCCTCTCCCGCCATTCCTCATATCCCTCGCCTTTCCTTCGCCCCACTCTGCTCCCCCTTCTCCCCCTTCCCTCCCATCGCAGACTAGAGGCTCTCCCCGAATCTCTCTCCTCCCTCACCGCCCTCCGCCATCTCGACCTCTCCCACAACCGCCTCTCCTCTCCGCCCTTCCACCTCACGTCCGCCCTTCCACATCTCCAGTGAGTTTCATTTCACGCTTGGAGTGAGTTTCACACCTCAAGTGAGTTTCACACCTCAAGTGAGTTTCACGCCTAGAGTGAGTTTCACACCTCAAGTGAGTTTCACGCCTAGAGTGAGTTTCACACCTAAATTGAGTTTCACGCCTTGAGTGAGTTTCACACCTAAATTGAGTTTCACGCCTAGAGTGAGTTTCACACCTAAATTGAGTTTCACGCCTAGAGTGAGTTTCACACCTCAAGTGAGTTTTCACGCCTATAGTGAGTTTCACACCTCAAGTGAGTTTCACGCCTCAAGTGAGTTTCACGCCTAGAGTGAGTTTCACACCTAAATTGAGTTTCACGCCTAGAGTGAGTTTCACGCCTAGAGTGAGTTTCACGCCTAAATTGAGTTTCACGCCTACAGTGAGCTTCACGCCTAGAGTGAGTTTCACGCCTAGAGTGAGTTTCACGCCTAGAGTGAGTTTCACGCCTAGAGTGAGTTTCACACCTAGAGTGAGTTTCACGCCTAGAGTGAGTTTCACACCTCAAGTGAGTTTCACGCTATGTGGCAAAAGACGCGTCCTGCGTCTAGGACGCTTGCGTCCAGACGCAGCGTCTTAGACGCAGACGCTAGATGAGGGCCTTAAGGACGCATGGAAAGACGCATGCCCGGGCAGGGCAAAAAAAAACCCCCGGGCAGCTGTAAAAAAAAGTTATAGGTCTTGGGAAGGGGAAGGGGGGGGGGACCTTTGCACACATTCTATGCAGAATTTTCCCCAACAATAAAACCTTAAGGGTTTACTAAGGAGAATTGGGGTTGTGAATGGAGGGAGCACAAATGAGATGTGTGCAACCCTAAATGGGTTTGGTTGGAGGCCACAAAGGTTGGATGTTCTAGATGTAGAGTGGTTGGGGGGGTTGGGTTGGGGGCTTTACAAATTTGTGTAGAGGGGTTTGAAGTAGTTGGGGGGGGGCTGTTTTCAATGTCGAGTTGCTTTTGGGGGGTCGCTTTTTTTCGCGAAATTGACATTCGCGTCAAATTCGCGAATGTCAATTTCGCGTTTCGGTAATTTTTTTATCCAGGGGCAGACCGGAAAAAAAAAACAGGGTGCGTCCTGCGTCTGGACGCGCGTCCTGCGTCTCTGCGTCCAGACTCAGGACGCAGCAGGACGCGTGCGTCTTTTGCCACTTAGGTTTCACGCCTAGAGTGAGTTTCACAACTTAAGTGAGTTTCACACCTCAAGTGAGTTTCACGCCTAGAGTGAGTTTCACACCTAAATTGAGTTTCACGCCTAGAGTTAGTTTCACACCTAAATTGAGTTTCACGCCTAGAGTGAGTTTCACACTTAAAGTAAGTTTCACACCATAAGTGAGTGAGTGAGTCCTTGGTAAAGGGCACAAGCAAATACCTGACAATACACACTCATTGCACAACCCCCATAAATTATGCTCATTGCACAACCTGCCTCTCCTCAATCCCAGGGTCTCACGTGCACCTGCTGTTGGCCTCTGCATGCTTCTCCCTGCCTTCCATACGCTTTAAGTTTTGGATGGTCTGTGTCTCTTTCTTCCCATTCCACGCACTCCCCCCGTCCCCTGACAGGTCTCTCATCCTCTCCGGAAACCCCTGTGCTCCCTCCTCCACACCACCACATAACCCCCCTCTCCAATGAAGGTCAATGACCCCAGCCTTGGTTGCATCTCCCGTTTCGCTTGAATCTTCCAGAGCCTCTCTTCCCCGTCTTCCTTGCCAGAACCACTCACCACCGCTTGACTCCCCTCTGCACCACTCCAATGAAAATCAAAGACCCCAGCCATGATTTTATCTTCCTTTTCACTTGAAATCTCTCTCCTCCCCTGCTTTACTTGCCAGAACCTCTCACCACCACACGTCCACTTTCTGCATCACTCTAATGAGAATCGATGACCCTTGGGTTCCCATCCCATTCTGCTGCTGGAAGTAAGATACGTAATTTCCTGGGCCTAAAATCTTAGGTGCAGCCTAAAACCGTTTGTGTATTATTGTAAGCTTACTCAAAGCATGACTGGAATTATTCGCAAGGTTTTGCAAAACGAGCTGGTATTCGCAAGGTTTTGGTGACTGTCAGGGCCTCAGATTCGTTTTTGGCTTGGCTGATACGTCAGCCTTAGCAGCCAACGTTAAGCTGATCAATCAGAGTTGGTTGTAAAAAAAAAAACTGAAAGTTCAGACAAGTATAAAAAAAAAACGCTGACTAATCAGCCTCACTTAATACACTCTGGCTGATCCATGTTGAGCACTTTTTCATTAAATTTAGCAGGCATAACAGGGAAACACTACACCACATACATGACATTAGCTAGCTGCTCATTTCATCTTCATCACTAGAACAACCTCCTGCATCTCCTACTGGCTCCTCCTCATCATCTACATCTACTGGCTCCTCCTCATCATCTACATCTACTGGCTCCTCCTCGTGCTTGCCCTTCTTGTTCTCGCCTGGGATTGGGGTGCGAATGGGAGCATTGCTGAAAGGCTTGCGCTTTCTGTAACTCCGCCAGATCTCAACTACCTCATCGTAGTTGGGCTTGTACTGCATGAGGGACAGACACATGAGGTCCCCCAGCCTCGCGTCCTTGATCCCCCCTCTCCGCCATGTCTTGATCACGTTTTGCCGAGTGAATCCCCTTTCGCACTCCACAGTGCTGAGGGGAATCACAGCCACCGCCACCCAGAGCTGCACCAGATTGGGGTAGCTCTCCCGCCAGTCTGGCGTCTTGAGGATCGCCGATAGTCCGCTGTGGAAGCCCCTCTCTTCCTTGGGGGCACGTGCAAGGACTGAACAGAAGAGGCGAAGCTCCTTGCCTGCCTGCCTCTTGTTGATGCCTGGTGGGAGGGAGGGAGGGTTAAGATGAGGCACATGACATGAGCAAACAGGTGCACCACAAAGGATTTTCAAGCATGGATACGATATCAAAGGTTCACAAAGGCGCCACAAACAGACCTGGCAAGATGTCCTCACGGTCCTGAGCCTTGAACATCGTCACCAGCGACTGAAGCCACTCCAGGCAACGAGCGTTCCGCTCAGACTTGCTTTGTGGCCATGCATCTGGTGTGAACAGGCGGACTCCAGAGAGGGAGTCGAGATCACCGAGCCTTCCCTCCAGGTTCGCCACGATCCTCTCTGCGAACTCGGTGCACAACTGGATGCACCCGTAGTGGTCCTCCGGGCCGCTGTACGAGTCCACGGGCTCGTCGTGAAGGGTGAACGTGATAGAAGATGGTCGGCCGTCACTGTCGACACCTTCCACCTTCACTTCGCGGCTACAACCCCGGGCCATGGCGCAGCAGGAAAGGTGACAGCCACTGGCTCATGCCGCCGCCGAAGTCATCGCCGCAGTCCACGTAGCGGCTCTCGATGTGACGCGTTGTCCGCTTGATCTGCGCATGCAAAGACACCAGATCGAGCTGGACAGACAGAGGCACACAGTGACACAGTTAAAAGGGTTAATGTGGGGACATGCGTAGCTATATTCGCACCACCTCACCTGTTTCTGCTGGAAGGTCTTGTTCAAAATGTTGAGCTGCTCAAGCACATCAGCCAGGAAGTAAAGGAAGAAGTGAAAACGGTAGGAGCTTGCCAGTTTGTACATCTTGCTGTTAAGCTCCTTCAGCAGCACAATCACTGCCGGCAAAACAGCGACAAGGCGACGAACGGCATCCCCCCTTGACAACCACCGAACGGAATGGATGCCTTGCACTTCAAGGCTCGTTTCGGTGATGACTTCCTGCAGGTCCATGAACCGTGCGTGGCGCGGGTCCCGACCGACCAAGCAAATCCGCCACTGCCCGGATGAGATCGTCGACCATGTCGAAGACGGGGAGCTCCTCTGCTGCATCCTTCGCTGCAAGTGCCTCCCTGCAAGTACAACATCAAACTCAAGACGTTAAACACGAGCTCGAACCACATGGCGTAACGGGCTGGAAACGTAGCAGCAGAGCTCACTTACCTGTGAGCGATGCAGTGGAACGGAGACAAGGTGCGGAATCTTCTGTCGCAGGCGGACAACCAGGCCGGCCTTAGACCCCATCATCACTCTTGCGCCGTCGGTGCTAATGCCAGAAATTCTCTGTAGATCGACACCGACGGATTGCAAGTGGGAAAAGCAGGATGCTCAGAAGTGAAGAAGCGTCCGCCTTTTCCACCGTGATCAGCTGCATGAACTCGGTCACGAGCACGTTGTCGCGGATGAAACGAGGCATACAAGATCATGTGCTTCCCCCGGAGTCGATCCGTGCTTTCATCGATGCAGATGCCGATGAAAGGGCTTGTCAGGATGTGCTCCAGCTGAGTTGTCTGTAGCCAGGTAGCAAGGGCCTGCGTGAGCTCACCGAAGCCGTACCTACACGCAGGGAAACCAAAGACAAGAGATTAGAAGAGGGTTTAGGGTTGAACATCAAAACATCAACGCAATACAAATGTGGCTACTACTCACGTTGTGTAGGTAGGTGCCATATCCCTTCTTAGGGTAGCCCTGGACACCCTTACCGCGCGAGGTACTGCACCAGCTTCACCCATGTTCCCATTGGCGCATCGCAGGAACTGACGAACAGCATGGAGTCGAGCAACGCCACGGCGCGGTTCTTCTCAGCATCGATGGCGGCTCGATGTTGGTCGATCCGTGGCTGCTTTGAGGCCGCGTTCAGCAGAGCCTCTTGCTTCTCCATCGCCAGCCTGTGTTTCGTCGTGCCGGCGTGCTTACGAAACGCCTGCGTCTGCACGTCGGTCGCCCCTCGCCCTGTCCGGCCACATCGCCCCCTGACTCCGGCATGCTTGGTGCAGACACTGCACTTAAAAGCAGGGAAACCAGATTTAGATTTGGTTAGCACAAGCCACGGGAACCTCTCAGACCACTTGGTTTTGTACTTCAAAAGAGCGTCTGCATAGACTGCCTCGATGGCCTCTGAAATGTCTATGACCAAGGATGGAAGAGGGGCTGTGTTGTTCGCAGACAGGTTGCTCGACGGCGGTGCTCGAAGAAGGTTTTGCCCAGCTCAGCGTCGACTGCTTGAGCTTGAAGTTGCGCGGGCCAGTGGACTTTGTTGTTGGCGAGTCGAGAACCACCGTGTCGGAGACGGCAGCCGGCGCAGCAGGCTCACCCCGGATGGAATCCGAGCTTGAAGAAACCGGTGGGTGGTCGCGGTGCACCCTCTCGACTAGTGCTGGCTTTGCAGTAGGAAGCCTGGGAGCGAGGACACCAGGGGCAAGCGAGCGCAGGAGCATATCAAGCCCCGTCCCTGGCTTCCTCTAGGCCGTCTAATTCATCATCGTTGCCTGCATCATCATCGCAACCTACGCCTTCTGCAAGGCCGGCCATGGCTGAAAGGGGAGAGCGTGCCGAGCTCCAACGTTGCTAGCTAGGGTTTGAGAAAACCAAGGCGAGAGGCGTGGATTGACAGTGCAGCTCGCCTAGGGGGTGGGGTAGGTGGGGTCATCAAGAGAGAGCCATAAAAGAAGGCCCTCTCATTCTCACCACCCATCAGCTACGCGGCGCGACGAGGGGGGCACCATGCACGCACTTAGATGCAGGTTCAGGGTGGGTGAGATGGGTGAGGTGGGTGTCCTTGTCGTGAGTGCGTGCGGTGCGTTCCTGTGCTGCACTGGTGGCGGGTGATTGGCGCATAAGGGATGTGATTGGTTTACCAACGAATCACATCTATTTAAGCATTCTGTCGGTGACAACGAAGCAAACGACGAGTCGGAAATTCGTTTTCCCCCCGCGTCGGCGCTGTACATGGCAAATTTTGCGTGATTGACGGTCGATGAACCTGGACAGCCGAAACTCACGGCTCCTGCACGAATCTGTAATAGCGTGAATTCAGCCTACACTCTCGTTACAAGTCTGATAAATCAGCGAACACTTGTAAAAAAAAACGCTGGATAATCAGCCAAAACATAAAAAAAAAACCTGAACAATCAGCCAACACATTAAAAAAAAAACTGAACTTTCAGCCAGCACATCGCCCACATGTCCTGTGAAATCAGCGTCCAGACCCTAAATCAGCCTTTTTTCGCTGACATCTGAGGGCCTGGTGACTGTATTTCATTCAAGGCTGGATCTGTGTACCGTAATATAGTTGGATTGATACGAGATTTTGGTATTTTTTAGCCACCAGGCCAGATTTCGCAGCCTATCTAGACGCGAAGGTATGCATTGCCTAAGACCTCTTAATGAAATATACTGATCCTTCTAAATACACAGTATTATAGTTCAAGATAACTAAGATCCGACTACTATTGCGCCAAATATTCAATTCTACTGCTTTTGATCTTGTTAAATCAAGTGTTGGACTGGCTCACTTACAGCTGTGTTGAAGCACCTCTTGTACCGCGCCCTTGATCATGTTGCAGACGACGTTTTCAACAACAAAGCAATCCCACTTTAGATCTAGGGAGGGATACCAGACAAATCGTCTTGCTGCTATCAACGCCCAGAAACAGCCAAGTATTTCTGTAGATCGCCTTTCGTAAGCTCGTTAGGCATCGAAATTGCTAGTTAGTCAATAGCTCGTCAGCCGTAGGCTCCCCGCGTCGTTACGAAGCGGTTTTTTCGGCAATGGCGATCGAGGATTCGAAGAAGCGCAAAGCGGAAGGAAAGGATGGCAACGGCGCGTCAGGCTCGGCTCGTCACCACACCAGGTTCGAGGACCCGCCCGCGGCGCTCACGACGCATCAGGCGCGCATTGCTCGTGGACGTCATGAAGGACGGCGACGTTCGCGAAGCGCTCGTGAGCGCGGCGATGTCGCACAGCGCCGTCGCGATGCGATCATGGAGGTGGTGGGTCGCGACTCGCAGCAGCGGCGAATATTCGTGCGCGGGCTCGACTTCAAACACCACCAACGAGAACGCTTCGCCGAATCTTCGAGTCGTTCGGCGACGTGGAGGACCTTCAGGTGGGGGCTGGGATGAAAGGGAGGATGGGGAGGATGGGGAGGATGGGGAGGATTGGAATAGGAGGACGGAGAGATTAGGCTTAGGAGAGGGCACGGTTTTCAGCCCATATTATGAAAATATTAAGACTTTGATGGCATGATGGCAGGAGATCGGCCCGTGAGAAGGCGGGATCAGACCGTTTCAAGACGGCGGATTGAGTTTTAATTTTTGCAGGATCGAATTATCAGTTTCAGTCCACCCATGCCCCTCATCTCCCGAGTTTTTTTGCGTAACAATTTCGCCCTCTCCCGCATTGTCCCCCGTCTCCCCGCCCTCCCCGCCCTCCCCGCCTTCCCCGCCCTCCCGCCTCCCTGGGTGCGCGCAGATCATCAAGGAGAAGGGGGACGGGTCGCTCGCGCGGCTTCGGCTTCGTCACCTACCGCTCGCTGCGCGGCGCCATTCGCGCCTTGGAGGAGCCCTCCAAGCTCGTCGACGGACGAATGGTCGTGTGCCAGCTGGCGACGCTCGGCCCGGGCGGCGGCTCGGCGAGTGCTGACGTGGCGGCACGTAAGATCTTCGTCGGGAACGTCCACGTGGAGCTGTCGTCAGAGCAGCTGCTGTCGTTCTTCTCACAGTACGGAGATATCGAGGAGGGCCCGATCGGATTCGATAAGAGCACCAGGAAGAGCCGCGGGTACGCGATCTTCGTTTTTAAGACCGCGGAAGGTGCGCAGAATGTTCTGCAGGAGCCGAATAAGATCATTCACGGGCATCAGGTGTTTTGCAAGCTCGCCGGGGAAAACAGAGGCAAGCAGCAGCAACAGCAGCAGCAGCAGCAGCCGGGGCTAATGATGCTACCGGGGGTAGTATCGGAGGCGGAGCAGCAGCAGGGGTATCCGCAGATGGTGTTTTATGGGGGGGACGCGCAAGCCGCCGCTTACGCCGCCGCGTACGCGCAGCAGGCGCAGGCGCAGCAGTTCCAGGCGGTTCCGCAGCAGCAGCAGGTGTACCAGGTGGCGGACGTGTACGCGCAACAGGCGCAGGCGCAAGCACAGGCGCAGGCGCAGGCACAAGCGCAGGCGCAGGCGCAGGCGCAGGCACAAGCGCAGGCGCAGGCGCAGGCGCAGGCGCAGGGGCAAGTTGCGCTGCAAGCTCAGTACTACCAGCAAGCGCCCGTCGCCGCAGCTTATCAGCAGCCCGTAGCTGGTTACCAACAACAGGCCGCAGCTGGTTACCAGCAACAGGCCGCGGCTGGTTACCAGCAGCCCGCAGGTGGTTACCAGCAGGTCGCAGCTGGTTACCAACAGCAGCCTGTGTACGTAACCCCTGCTGTTGCCGCCCCAACTCTCGCAGCCCCCCCCGCCGCCCCACAAGCGGCGCAGTTGCAGCCTGCGCCTGCTGCGCCCTCCCCCCAGGGTTACCCCGCGCAAGCGGCGCCCGCGCAGGGCTACTATGCGGCGCAGGGGGCAGTGCCTGCGCAGGGCGGATACGTGCAAGCGGGGGTTGCGCCACAAGGGGGGGTTTACTACCCGCTGCAGGCACAGGCGCAGGGGCAGGCTCAGGGGCAGATGCAGGGGCAGATGCAGGGGCAGATGCAGGGGCAGGCGCAGCTACAGGGGCAGCAGCAGGGAGGGAAAGGCGGCGTTGGGGAAGCTCCCCCCAGCCTGGCGCAGCAGCAGCTGGAGGGGCTGCGGGGCGGCCTGGTTACCCGGTAACACCGCAGCTGCAGGTCCAACAGCAGCAGCAACAGCAGCAGCAACAGCAGCAGCAGCAGCAGGGGGCAGGGCAGCAGCAGCAGGGGGTGGTGTATGCAGGGTACTATGGCGCACAGTAGCTGCTGCTCAAGAGTCGTCTGCTACGGTGCTGCTCGGTAGGTATGAGTTTGTTGATTGGAGGTCTGCTTCTGAGGCGCCTGAAAAGGGGCTGGAGGCGCCTGATTAGGGGGTGGTTCTGGCTCACAATGAATGTGTTGAAGGCTGGTGGGAGTGACTGCAGCATCTGGTAGTGGTTGTCGGTGACTGCTAGCGTCTGTTTCCCTCTACCGTTTGCTGCTTGCGTCTGCCGCTGCCGCGTTCACGGAGGTTTGTGTTGGTCCCGCCACACGTTTGCACCTCTCCCTGAGCTCCTCCTCGCGCTCCTAGCCCAGCTCCTATCTCTCACCGCTTCTTCACAAATCTTGTTTCGCCTTGTTTTCTCGAGTCTGCCTCTGCTCCAAGCCTCAGGCAGGATCCGCATTCTCTGTTTCAATTGGCTCCTGGCACACTCTTCGGCTCTGATTCACTCTTGTTGCTATCTCTCCTCACCTCTAGCCTGCATCTTTTCATCGCAACCGGCAACTGGCTCTGCATCTCAGTTTGTTCCGGCTCTGCTCGCTCCGCACCTCTTACCTGCTTCTTCTCGTCGCCTCTGGCTGGGTCTGCCCCTGCCTCTCAGTTTGTTGCGGCTTTCGTCGCTTCTGTCGCTGGCTCTCTGCAGTGGATTGTTCCACTCTCAGTCCTCTTCTTTTCTTACACCGGCTGGTGCTATCATCTGACAGTCCCTCTCTTACTCTCTCTACCGCTAGCCTCATGATGACTCTCTCTAGTGGGGCCTGCTTCCGTGTCCTTGAGAATTCTCAAATGACTCTCTCTAGTGGGGCCTGCTTCCGTGTCCTGTCTGTTGAACCCTAGCCTGGTGCTAGGCATGCTTCTCCTCTTCTCTGCCATTTGACTGATTAGCCATGTTTTATAGTTCTTCTCCTTTTTCAACGTGCCATGATATTTCTTTTTACTCTTTGCCTTGGAAGTTGGTCGTGGTAAACTCCTTAGGCTTTCCGAAACTGTTGGGGGTATAACGTTTTTCTTTTGCTTTTTACTCATGTTAAGTCTTGTCTTGGGCTCGTACGGTAGTACCATAGTATGCCTCTCCATTCTCACTCCATGATTCTTACTGTTTAAGGTGTACGTTTGATCCCATGGTTTTGCGCTCGTTGCGTCCTTCTCTTCTCAATTGTTTTTCAAAGTCCGATTTTGGCCGGATTGCCATTTTCCTGGTGTGCAATGCAGTGCGGTTTTTTAATGAGAAAGCCCGAATGGGCAGTAGTAATAGCATTTCAGGAACTGCACTGCACCAGCAAATATCAGGCTGTTCACTCATTTTGCAGATTGCATGCAGAAATTGGTTGTAGTAATTGCATGTGACTCTTAGCTGATATTAGAAACAAGCAAACACCACGCAGTAATGTGTGCACAGCACCGTGCACAACCCACGTAATTCTCCAGGCTGCAGATCGAAACCTGCGCGGCGAATCACCTTGAGGGTTATGTTTTAGGATGAACCCAGTATGGCTGTATCGCAGCAACCCGCTGCGAGGAATTGTTTCCGGCACATTTCACGGCCTTGTAGTTTGCATTGCGGTTCCAAGCGGTAATTTGAAAACTTTCGAGGTTGGATTTTGACTGGCAACTTCACGTTGCGGAACTACTTTGCAACGGTCATATTTGTTCTCCCAGCCCTCCAGCATGACATATTTGTTCCTTGGCTCGCATGGTTTTAAATTTGGATTTGTCAGCCATTCGTGCTGCTGTCACGGCTGCTGATACGCCTGATACGTCTGCTTATGCTTCCATTAAAGCGTTTCAGTAGCTAAGCAGTCGATTATATTCCCGACACTAATTTCTCTCGGGAACGTTTGTGAACCACCTGAACGAGCACTCTTACCACTCTTCCAGTCACGGAGGCTGACAGCGTCTGATATTTGCCATGGCAGACAGAGCAACCATAGAAGCGACGCTCTTCATGTTCGAGATACAAGTTAAGCAGGTTCGTGCTGTGCCATGTGCAGAATGTGAAGATTTTCCGGTGCGGTTAACTCCAAGATCATTATGCAGCACGGTTTGAATCTTCAACGTGCAGCAACGTAAACGACGATCATCAACATTTTCGCCAATCCTAATCACCGGCATTGTGCTTCTGATCATGAAGCGACCAAATCTCTATTATGATGAACAGCAGTGTCAGTCGTTATTAACACCGATGTCAATCATGAACTCCAGCAATGTCTAACATAACTAGTACTATGAACACCGATTGTCATTATCATGCCGCAAGCGTGATGCTCAGCGATGTCTATCATAGGTATCAGCAACGTCTATCAAGGCCATCTGCAGTACCAACCTGGATTATCAGCAATGTCTTGAATCATGCTCAGGCAGCTGCGCCTCCGAAGTCAGCATGCAGCGATTCTGATCTGAAACCTCATTATGGGCTCTCACGTTTCGCATGTCACGTTAATAACACTTTTCAAGTGTTGGAATTGCTTGTTCGTTCCTTGCTCTGTGACATGGACCTTTGCAGCTACATGAGAACAAAGTCACTGATCGTTTCAACACCTCCACCGACCGTGATTATCCAGAATATGTTCAAGTGTCTCTGCATTTCGAGGAGATCGTTGATCCGGTGCGTTCTGTGTGCATTTCATCTACATTTGTTTCTGCATTCGGGACAAGTGCTGCTCAAGTAGAGATGTCTAACGTCGTATATCTGTCACCGGTTGATTCAGGAAATAGATACGAACGAGACAGTGCCAGGATCAGAGTCTGCTGTATCATGTACAACCTGCTGCAGTGACACGACCAAGTGTGATATCAAGAATCGTGATAGCTCGTTAAAAGATTTCACCATACTGTTGAAGAACAAGGGGATCGACCTCAGCAATGAATGTTTCCACGTCCTTCAGGTGCGGTGTTTCTATAGTTTATTCGTGTCTTATTGGCTGGTAACAAATATATTTGCAAGTATTACAAGCTGTAGATTACAACTGGCTTCTAACAAGTGTTGAGGACTGCAGGTGGAGTTGGAGCGGGTTGCAACAATGACACCAAAGGCGCAACAGCCTCAAGAAGAGGGTTTGTTGGAGTACCTTGAGAAGGCTGTTGGAACAAACGAGTACATCGAGCAGATGAAGGAACAAGCCCAACGGTAATAATTTCTCATTTAAGCACCGATGGTGCGAGAGTTTTTTTTTTTTCAATCCCCTTTTTCAGTAATCAAAACATTGGTGTAAGTACCACTAGTCCGCAGAAATGAAACAACTCGAATCCTATTACCAGCAGGTTCTCCCTGTGGCTGAATGCCTCTGTTCCGTATTGCTCCGTCTCTCAGAGCACTTGATTTAGACTCGTACTGCTGAGTGCTGTCCTTCATGGGATGAATTTGAACAAGATAGGTCAATACAAGGCTGGGTGCTTGATTGTGCTGTCCCTACCCGCTCGTCTGACCCGCTTGTCCGCCATAATCCTTGTTTTCCTGGCGCCTTGTCTGCTTGCCTCCTCGTCTGCTTGCCTCCTTGTCTGCCTGCCTGTCTGCTTTTCTGGTGTGTACAGGCTGGAGGATCTGAATGCGAGAAGGGTGGGCTTCACGGAACGAATGCAATTCGCGGAAAAAGAAAAGGACCAACTGGAGGTGAGTGCAGCATAGACACTATGTGGGAAGCATAAAAGATGCAATGGAGGAGAAATAAACACACACCATGCACTATAGGAGGAACACTTGTATGTTGCACATGTCTTAACGCCCTCCTGTCACCGATTCCCTTAACCCAAACTGACATGCCCTCCCCTTTTTATCATGTTCTTGTTGAACGAGGGCAAACGCAGTGAGAATGATATGGGCACACGATCTTTCCTTTCACCCACTCCCACTTCCTCAACCAACCCCATCGCTTGCATGCCCTGGGCTCCAGGAGCACAAGAAAGCGGCTGAAGACTTTCTGCTGAAGGAGGCGAAGCACACGCAGCTGAACATGGCGGCAGTGTATTTGCTGCTGCAGGATATTGAGCAAATAAGGAAACGGTTCATCACTCAGACCGCAGACCTTGAAAGGAGATTGAGGAAGACAGGTGAGACGGGGAGCTGGTGTGCAGCAGAGGATTGGCGGGAAGCGGGTTGAGATGTTCTTGTTGCTGCAGGAGGGCGTCCACTGTCGAGCAAGGAACGGCAGCAGGCAGGTGACTCTGAAATAGGAAACGCACTGAGAAGTGTCAAATCTTTATGCATATTCTGTTGTCATCCAGTGCATGGTGAATTTGTTGGTTGGAGTATTGGACAGAGACTACAGCAGGCCATGAGAGCCCAAGGAGGGTTTTCGTCAGACGCTGAGGGTCTGAGCCCACTGACTGTAGCACCATTGGATGCAGGAAAACGTTGTTCGTGCTTACAAAAGAGTTGAAGTGCAAAACAGTTGCTTCTGACAAATGCACAGAGGAGCTCAATGTGAGTCTTGAGGGCAGCGTCTTAGAAAGAAAAGAAGTGGGAACTTGGCCTATATATATATATATATATTTGGATCAGTCTTCCTTCTCTTCCGTTTGTCTGGCTTCGCCTTTCTAATTTCCCCCTGTCTGTGTTCCTAACATTGCAAGCTTTCTTATCAGGCCCTCTCCAAAGAGCTGCGGGCTGCTGTTGCAGAGAAGAACGCACTGGCGACGAAGATGCCTGCCTGCAAGACAGGCAAGGTGGGTGACTGAACTATACGGATGGAAGTTAGGCGTGGGAAGTTAAAGGTCTGGTTGCAACTGCATCTGGCAAGTAAGGCCAGACGTGTAAGGACGATATCTCAAGTACGAGGCACAGTTTGTGATATGAGATATTCTTTGGTATTGAGATGACCTGTTTTTAACATAATCACGCACCTTCCAATCACATACCACCTGCTCACACAACAACCACTACCGCTCTTGTCCTCGTCGTGTCTCCTTCTCATTGTGTCTGCAGGAGAATAAATATCCCAAGAAAAACAAGATTCTGAGCAACCTGACGGAAGGCACGAGCAGCAGAGGCAAGGATAGGAAGCAA